AAGAAGTGACAAGAACAAAGAGAGTAATGTTGCATGGTTTTAAATTCGCAGCATTTTGTACATTTTCAACTAGTACTGATACAAAATCATTCTAAACACGTCCGTGGAATTACTTGTGGAAATACTTGAGATTTCAATGTTCTTTGGTCTCTCAGGAACGCCTTGAAGTTTTGAGCCGCATCTTTCACTACAGATGCTATTCTAAGCTCTATGAACAACAAATTTGAATTCATTTCATGGCCGAGAATTCGACCTACTGTGCCACAGGATCCGTGTCATCTCTGTGAGAAGTGATCGACCAGGTAATTTGCTTGTGGAAATGTTTTCGGCAGTGAACTTGAACTGAAATCGGTTTCACACATGTGTATTGAATTCACCGTGCAAGTTTCGTTTTTCACCTTGCAACGCGATTCAGCCGTGTCTGTTCGACGTGCTGCAGTCGCACTGCTCCGTAAATTCCTATTTGGCTGATTGTCTGGCATATGCCTATAATATGCAGTACATTACAGTATTTTACTATTATAACAGATACAGCTGAACATTAGCATAAACGTTTACGCAACACCCCGTACAAAGAAAATAAGTTCCTTCAAGAAATTCTGAAAGACAGTGAAGAGGTCCCCATGGGTGGGTATATTCCTGGAAAGCCCTTCATACCTGCGCTAAGCACCTACACTCTGCAGCGATTTAATATTTGATTGATGACGGAAAGAGCAAACGACGAACAAAGAACTATCATGAACCATTTTGAACGGTCGACAAGAAATGTTTCGCTAACGAGACGATCAGAGATGCGTAGAACGAGATCCTTGCGGATTTCAAGCAAACGTGTTTAGAAGGAAGCTTTGACAGCAAACGCTGCATGGAAGAATATTGCTACCGTTCGTATTCCAGGAGAGACAAAGTGAAATTTTGTGGTCATGATACTAACATCAGAAGATGCGAACGATTCATTAAGAATAATATCAGGGTATGAAGTAAAAGCAATATTCTTTGCGCCAGGTATATAGCAAAGACCTCATATACTTCTTTGCCTATACTTGTATATTCAAGATACCGTGCCTCTGAATGAGAGATATAATTATATGATTGTCGTAAATAGCATAATAAGCCATTGCCTTCTTAGCTGACCCCTTCAGATAGGCCTTTACGAATAACGCAGCAA